GAGTCCTAAGGGAAAATCCATATGCCTTTGTTTTTTCTTTATTGTGGGCAGGTGAGAACACACTTATTTACAGCCTAGTGTTGTGTGTTTTTTACCAGACATTACACAGTACAGGACGTATACAAAGCGGTTGCACAGATTCACCCATGAAAGCTGCATCAGAATTTACAATCTTCCCTGTTTGGAAGGAAATTGTCTAGATGTCAACCTGTTGTGGACTCACCTTGCTGAGACCACGCATTGTACGTGACAAACGTAGCCAAGATTTCTGTGCCTTCTCATCCCTGTGGATGCAGGTGGTGGACTATTGGGAATGAATGCACAGAAACATGAAAAACCTCTATAACTACATTTCCTTTAGTTTTTCAGCAAACATTTATCATTTTTGATCAGCTTTATGACTGTACAGAAAATGGGAAACTTGTTATTCCTGTACTAGGACATTGACAGATCAGAGCAGATGGAAAAATTCAGAGTTTATGTACGCTGTATCAGTGTGACAAGTGTGGTAAATCTTTTTTTTTCTGTTTTACATCTAAGGAGATATTCAAGGACACATGTCTCAGAGGAACCTAATGAAAGCAGAGAATGTGTGAAAGCTTTTTCACCATCAAGTCAGATCACGGCGCAGGGAAGAAGTCACACAGGAGAGATAAGTTTTGAACGTAAGAAATGTGGGGAAACCTTTCCTCGGTCACATGACCTCTGTGAACATAGGAAAACTTCTACAAGAGGGAAGTCTACTCGGTGTAAGGAATGTGAGAAAACAGTTTCCAAATCAAGTCACCTAACTTCTCATAGAAAACTTCATGGAGTACAGACACCTCCCAGGTTTAAAGAATGTGGGAAAACTTGTGCCCGATCAACTGACTTCACTCCACATCTGAGACTTCACCCAGGAAAGAAACCTCATGAATCTAAGGGATGTGGGAAAACTCTTTCACGATCCACTTCCCTCAGTGAAGATATGATAACTGACACAGGAAAAAGACCTTTTGAATGTAAGGAATGTGAGAAAACCTTTTCACGATTCCCTTCCCTCACTGAACATACTGGAATTTACACAGGAGAGAGACCTTTTGAATGTAAGGAATGTGGGAAAACCTTTTGCTATTCACATTCCTTTAGGCAACATACTGGAATTCACATGGGAGAGAGCCTTTATGAATGTCAGGAATGTGGGAAAACATTTCTTGAATCAAGTCACCTCACTGTGCATAGAAGAATTCATACAGGAGAGAAATATTATGAATGTCAGGAATGTGGAAAAACATTTTCTCAATCAAGTAAACTAATTTCTCATAGAAGAATTCATACAGGAGAGAAACCTTATGAATGTAAGGAATGTGGGAAAACATTTTCCCACTCAAAAAGCCTCATTCGACATAGAAGAATTCATACAGGAGAGAAACCTTATGAATGTAAGGAATGTGGGAAAAGATTTTCTCACTCAAGTAAGCTCATTTCTCATAGAAGAATTCATACAGGAGAGAAACCTTATGAATGTAAGGAATGCGGGAAAACATTTTCTCAATCAAATAACCTCATTACACATAGAAGAATTCACACAGGAGAGAAACCTTATGAATGTAAAGAATGTGGGAAAACATTTTCTCAATCAAGTACACTCATTTCCCATGGAAGAGTTCACACAGGAGAGAAACCTTATGAATGTAAGGAATGTGGGAAAAGATTTTTCCGCTCACATAGCCTCAGTTTACATAGAAGAATTCACACAGGAGAGAAACCTTATGAATGTAAGGAATGTGGGAAAACATTTTCTCAATCATATACACTCATTTCTCATAGAAGAATTCACACGGGAGAGAAACCTTATGAATGTAAGGAATGTGGGAAAACATTTTCACTCTCAGGTGACCTCACTAAACATAGTAGAATTCACACAGGAGAGAGACCATTTGAATGCCAAGAATGTGGGGAATCATTTAGGCAGTCATATCAGCTCAGTAAGCATAGAAGAATCCACCCCCTGAAGACCTGTTAAGGCAGTAGCAAAATGCAAAGAGTGTGCAATAGCAATATGCAAAAAGTTTGCTTCATTCTTGTACACACTTAATTGATATCAGTCGTACTACCTATCAGTGCTTTTCTGTGAAGCCAGGTTATTTTGTAAACTTTCTGTGAAATCCCAGAGGTGTAAAATGTATTTGTTCAAATGCAAATTAATTATTTCCACCAAAATAAATGAAACCTAAAAACTTACACTGACCAGTGTTTGTTTTTTTTTTTGCTTGTTTGTTTGTTGGGTTGTGTTGTTTTTGTTTTTTTTTTTATCAGCTTTGGGCAATCTTGTAGAAACGGAAGTTGGTTCTGTTACACGAATGAAGACTTAACTGTAATGAAGACTCCCCGAGACTCTATTTATAGCCCAAGTCCCTAAGTTGTCCTGGAAAGGGGCTCCTCATGGGAGTGACCTCCCTTTACAGAACTACATTTAACCCTGCCAGTGGCTGCTGTGGGTGGAGAAAGGTGGCATCTATACACTCAAAAAGAACAATAAAAGTGAGATCGACATTTGGGAATCATTTGGCTTGCTGCTATGGACCAACTTTTGTATTCTGGCCAAGCTGTTGTACAAATTTTTATCTTGTGTTTCTAAAGCTGCACGTTAAGGGAAAGAGATCCTCCAGCCTGTTTTCTGAGATCCTTCTAAGTGTCCACAAAGGAAAGGCAAACCCATTGTCATGAAGTGAATTCCAAGTGTTGGGAGTCCAATATGACAGTGCCAAGGTCCTATAGACTTTCCAAGGCCACACTTGGTGATTGACGTGGATTTTATCATCTTTTTCTCAAGTGTCGGTTCTTGAATTTGAATCTGACGATCTGTTTTCTGTCATCCCAA